TCTGTGGCTGCAGACAACTGAAGGCAGTAGACTGAAGTATAAGCTGCTATTAATACCCAGGGAGACATCCTATCTGAGAAGCAATGACATTTGTTTTTATATCAGTGTTTGAGCTGCTTAATCACTTTTAAAGCAGATTATGTTAATGACCCTGCTATTGAGCTGTTGGAAATCAGGCAATGTAGAAAGAAGACAACCTAATTGGCCACTATGTAGAACAGTATAGTGTCCTTAGAGAATGTCTCCGTTTATATTCTGATTTCATATTCCAAGCAAATGGTATAAAGGTATCTTATAGCATAGTGGGATTTTGATGCCCTTTCCTTGTCTGAACTGCTATTTGTCTGATATCTTTTCCTCAAGGAAGATACGTGAATGCTTGCTGGACTCTGTATTCTCTTTGAGCATCTTTCAGTTTATCAGAAGTGTGTGTGAAATGGGGAAATGTAACTGCCCTAAAGTATGGGTTTATTGCACTTGAGAATTCAACTTCAGATTATGAAGTTTTTTCACTCTTGACAAAATAGTTATGCTATTGCACTAATGTATCAGCTCTTACATTGGAACAAGTGAATAATTTGGTCCATATGCAAGAAATACTCCGTTTCTCTGTGTGAAGCAGGTGTTAACTTCTGATATGAAACTTCAGGTTAAGCCATGAGCCTCAGAGCTGTGTGGCTATATACTTGTCAATGTGAAAATAAAATCAGAATATGGAGCAAGACGTCCCTTAATTTATGATTTAGCTAGAAGTATTGCATTTAAATTGATTTTTAATGACAAATGGTAGAATCCAAGCTGTTACAGCTTTGAATTTAGTTCTAGGTTAAAGCTCAGTTCATGATTCTTTAGCATGCTAAGGGTGCAGTTCTGAGCAATAAGTTCCCTTGTGCCTTGTGTTGCTGAGGTAGGATGTAATGTTTAAATAATGGTCTGATTTTGGAAGATCCAGTCACAGAGATGAGAGCAACTGAAAGTACCAGGCTATTCAAGATATCTTCCATGTTGGATTAAGACCTATCTAGGGCCTGAACTTTTGTATAGAAGCTCTTGTCTTTGTGTATGGCTTATGGATTTAGTGATAGTGTCCTTTTTTTTCCTAAAACATATTCAAGCTGATTATTTGAACTTCTGCTGGTAATCTTCTCAGCCTTTTTCTGTTTGTAGCTATTGGCAGGGTCTTTGAAGTCCCTGTTTTCAAACTAAGGTATTCGTATCTTTGTATTTTCAACTTCTGAATAGCCTACTATTCAGGTTTTGGTCCTTTTTGGTTTGTGTTTTTGTTTTGTTTTGTTTTTTTCCTCCCTGAGGCATTTTTGACTGTTTTGCGGAACAATCTGAAAACTAAGCAGTAAAACTGAGAGAAACCTGAGCTACTTTGTCTTTGAAGGAAGCCTTCAATTTTCAGGATGTTTTACCTTTTTTTATCTCTTGCCTTAATACAAAGCAATATTTTCAGTTGTAACCTTCCCAAATTTGTTCCTCTCCAGGGATAAGTGTAAAACAATGGTTTTAAGTAGGACCATATGGGATGGTTGGGTATTGCTTTGCATTTATTCTGAAGTCATTAACCATGGAGCCCCAGTGATGAAGGACTGTGGCTGATAAGAGGAAGGATTAACAGGAGCATCCAGTATTGCTAGCAGGTGGAGGGAAAAGTGTAAGTAACTTGGGCAGAATTTTTAAAGCTGCCTGTGGAGAGCAGAAATGCTTAAATGCGTAGAGATGCAACCGTTCCCCCTGTAACGGGGAAGAGACGTGCTTGTAACAGAAGTCATGAGAACCTTTTTTGAATAGTGTAATAATTTAGTGTTCTTGGTGTACATCATGAACAGAATTTCACTCCGTTTCCCCAAGTGAGTTTTGTAGAGACTGAGCCTAAGACTTTTGCTGTAACTTTTTATTTTGCTCAGTGTTAGCAAGCCATCACCTGACATATTTGGTTCAGTTCATGCATTTTAATCTAAAGATACAGCTCAATTGGAAAGAGTTTCACAAAAAGCAATGAGGATGATCAGGTGTCTGTGAGGGGGAAGAAGGTTAAAAGAATTGATAGTTATTTCCATAAGAGGGTCTTGACTATCATAAATCCTAACAGGTTCCTTAAAGTAGTCTTCCTGCAACTTCTTAAAATGTTTTTTGCTTTTTTCATCTTTCTTTTGTTTTCCCATTCTTGCCCAATTGTTTATTTAAGACAGTTTAGCAGTTTGCAGTTTAAAAGAAAATATCAGATTTAATACTTTTACCATCTTTGTTTTTTTTCCCCTTGTTTTTCTGTTAAAAGGTGCAGTGTTGTTTGGAGATGCTCATTCTGAGCATTCAATACAGATTTCTTACCATATGATGGTATTTGAAGTTTAAGTACTGATCCTGATCTTATACTCCAGATGAAGGTCCTGCTTTGGACAAAATGTGCTGTAATTGTCCAGACACAGGCATAAGTTCTTCCAGTTCTTCAGTTTCTCCAGCTGGCTTCCAGATACCTACCTGGCTGCGTTACCCCTCAGTTGTCATTAATTTTGCTTTAAGGACTGTATCAGTTCCACTTGGATTATGCAAACATGCTCTAAATGAGCATGTAATTTTTCTAGTTTATGCATAATATATTGCCCTACTTTCTACCTCCAACTCCCTTTTTGCCCTTTAAGTACCTTGAGTGCTTTGGGAGCATCCAGAAGCCCTTGGATGACTGCTGTCCTGCTCTCCTTCTCTTAGTGATGATCACTGACAGGCCTGTAATTTACAGTAGATACCATGTTATATGACTTGATTTTTTTTTTTTTTTTTTTACAAAAGCCGTAAAATCTTAGTGATGTACTCTACATCTTTTTAGCATTCCCTGAAATAAAATAAATATATGTATTAGAGGATATAAACAATATATATAGTGTCTGCTGTTTTGACATTCTTTTAAGAAGGATTTTTTTTATTGCTAGGATATTGTTTGTTTGATGTTGGTCTTAGCAGATTATAGTAGTGTTTATTTCATTATTTTTTTTGGTTGAAACTCCAGAGTAAAACCAAGGGGGAAGACCTGTCTAAATCTTACTAATATACAAGCTCTTCTGCTATTAATCAAGCAACAGTTTAGTAAATACTTTTCTTCTGCTAATGTGTGTATTTTCTGTCTACACTATCCAAATACCTTAATAGTGATAAAAATTATCATCTAAATAGAGTACTGAGTTAATTGTATTTCTGTTTTTGAGCATGGGAATTGTTTTATTATCATAATCTCTTCATTGGTTTTGACATTACTCTCTACTGTAAAATGAATAGGTACTAAAATATTTGTCTTGCATAGTTATATTTGTTCCGTTGTCTAGCCTGTTTGATTTGTGTCTTTCAGTTTTGTTTTTTAAAGATTGACAATTCTCAGGTTTAAAGAGCTGTGTCAGAGCAACTAGCAAGTTACTTTGAAAGCAGCCTAGTCTTTCTCTGAAACTCAAGACAACCATATATTGTTAGAGAAAGTTATTTTTGTTGCACAGCATATATTTATTGGAAAATACATATGTTGATTAATATAGATAAGTTCATTTCTCTACCTCTCCTGTGGTGATTTCCATTGTGCCAAAGTGATGATCCTGCTCCAATGGCACATCTAGTTTTTTATTGAACTGCTTTTAACCCTGACTACCGTATTTAGTAGTAGTATTGTTTTGTACTAGCTTAAACTGGCCGTGGAACTACAGTTTAGGCTATGAACAGCTGTTAGCTGTTGTAGAATGCCTGCCTAATATCATGTACTGCACCTCCTGTAAATAGGTCGCTGAAAACTGCTTATTCTTCTTTTGTTGAGGTGTAAACCACCTTTAAAACTACAGGACATGGCATGTAAAAGAGCAGCATGAGGGAAGATTAGCCTATGTTGCTTTAGTGTCTTGCAATTCAATTTTCTGTGTTGGCTGGTTTCTTGTTAGCTTAGGGATCTCTGTTGCCTTGAACTATGTGAGATAGGCGTGTTTCAAGGCAAAAAAAAAAAGTAGTTTTCAAACATAGCTTGCCACTTCCTTCTAGCCTAGAAATGATTACATTGGCTAAGTCTGTCCGTTCAGAAGCTTTATGTTCAGTCTTATTCATATCATTTAACCTTGAACATACATAGAAACACACGAGATCTTCTTGGCAGTTGTCTGTTCAGGTGGACATGTCATAATGTCCAACCTTGCATGTCTCCAGTGCCTAATGAATCCAAAGACGACACAGAATCTTGAATTATGGAATCTAAGCTTAGTTCATTAAACGTTTTTAATGAAAAAGGAATCTTCTTCAAGACTTGCTTAAATAAAACTGTAGCATTTCAGGCCAAATTTCTTAGCTGTGTTGTCATTGCCTGGTATCATGTGGTTTCCTAACCACTGCTACCAAGTTCGTCTGTAGTTTCCTCTTTACTTTTTCGATTATATATACTTAATAAGTGTTATTAATAGGACATCAGCTTGTCAAAAGAGAGGTAACGAGCAGCATGTGTGTCCAAACTTGGTTTGAGCATTCAATTTGTGGAGATTGGTTTTGGTTACATTTTTCCCAAACTCACTCCCCTTCTACATAATCAACAGCTGCTAATCATTTTTTTCCCATAGCGTTATAAAAAATATTTCTACTAGCTTGTTTAGGATGTGAGGTTTTTTGTTTTAATTCTACGTGAAGCATTACTTTTCAGCTATTAATTTTCATACCACCATGATTTTGTGGTATTAAAATCACTAGTGCTTTTTTGGGGAGGAGGAGGTTGTTTTTACTTTGATCAAAGAAGGTAAAGCAGAAATAATTTAATCATTGTCAAATTAGAATTGGAATATGGTTGCCTAGTGAAAATCTTACATGTTTTATTGAACCTCTTTTGAATGTGTATGGTAGTATCAGATATAAACGTGTTTGTGTCTGCTTTCACTGAAGTTTTATTCTGAAAAAGATGAAAGACACTGTTATACTTTTGAATTGTAACTGGATACATTTTAAGATAAATATGCTTAGCATTATTGCTTAAATTGCAGATGGCTGGAATCCGTTTTCTCATCCGTATAAGAAGATGGAATATGGGAAGTGGGAGTTGTTCATTCCACCTGGACAAGATGGTTATCCTCCTGTGCCCCATGGATCGAAGCTAAAGGTGTTGGTTCTAGACTTACTCTGTCCAACTATTGTAACCCTTCTTAATTGTCCATTTTGTTTTCTTTTAAATAACTTTTTCTTCTTTTAGTTGTTCTAAGAAGCAAAACCAGTTTATCTGCTTGTGCAAAGTGACCTTAATGAATGAAACATTAACATCTAACTCTCTTTGTGACGCTTAGGAACAGGCATACGTGGCTGAAATGTGGATATAGTGCATTTTATCATGTTACAAGATGAAAACAGTATTTACATATTGATAATTTGAAAATTAAGAATTGAGTAATGTATAGATAAAGTATTTCTGTATTTGATGCAACTAGTTGAAATTAAGATCCTATTCAAATCTCAGTACCTTGGTAATGTTTGTGATTCTTTTACCCATGGCTTTTCAGGTGATCTTTTTGTGTTGCTTTAGTGGTACATGTGGTCTTCTGAAACTTCAGTCTGTCATTTAGGAATTAAGAGTATTAAGCAGTAGGCTTAAGTTAGTTATACTAAATACAGATGCAGGGAAGACTTGGGTGTTTTATCAGTTGTATTTCGTGGGTATCCATAAGCATAAAATCTTTTCTTCTAGAAATTAATGGAAGGTTTCTTTGAGCTGTCAGATGCCATGGTTGTTAACGCTTAGTGCAGATATACATAATGACAACTATCAGTAGAGTTGATTATTTCTAGGTGAATACTGATTTCAGTCAGACATGTGCTTCTGAGAATTTGAATTGTTGCAGTCAGAGCTTGAGTTCAAGAGGTACTGGATGCTAATGAGGGACGGTAATGAGTAGTTAAGGAAAAAAATGTACTGAAATCATCTATGGACTAGGAAAATTAAGAAACTGGGAGCATTTGTATAATCCTATGTTTTCAAGGCTCCCATCAACAAAACTAAACCACTGAAAACACCCTCATTTTTCTGCTGAAAATCAGCTTAGGTAAACAAGGAATCTGCTGAAACAGAGATGCATAAAAATGCTCTGGAAATGCTTGCTCAATTTATGTGCTTTTCTCTATGCTTTTTGTTATGGCCTATGAAATTATCCCAGTAATAAATATGGATAAATTGAAATTTAGGAATAATCATTCAGGGATGAGAAAGCTGGTTTTATTTTACAGAGCAGAAAAGAAAACAGTTGTCTGCAACTCAGAAATACAGTGATTATGCAGTCATATATGAGATTGCAGAATGGTTTCTTAATATTTTCTGTGGTTTTGAGATTTAAGTAGGTAATTTTTTTTGGTTGTTACTAAATTTGCCTTTTATGTTATGTCTACAAAACTGTTGAGCTGACCTACTTTAGAAAATTCTACTCTCAATGTAGAGATAAGAGGTGTGAATGACTAGAAGTGTTGATAATTATTAACATAATAGCAAAAAGCATGTAGTCTTAAGCATGTTTGGGAAAACTTAAATTTCTTTTCAGTCTGTCTACCTATATAATCACTGGTCATATCTCTTGTTTTTCAAGTGCAGGTGTTCATACTAGTATCTCTTTCCATTCACCATTTCCTTTGAAGCATAAACTCCATAAAGCAAAGACTGTATTGTGCATAATTTGTTTAGTATGTGGAATTTTTGTCTACTGATTACTTTTGGTACTGGTGTGCTAGCAAGATGATTTGCTGTAGTACTGTAGTTGCTTTGAGTCTTCTGAAAAGCTGTGAGACTTGCTGGCAGAACAGAATGTGAGTTTGTTCCCCCCCCACCGTTTTTCATTTATCTATCTATCTATTTTCACCCTGCCATTTCTTTAATTGTAATTTTACCTGCTAAGTTCTAAACAAAAGATGTATGTATTAAGACTGACACTCAAAATATGCCATTGCCAAACAGGCTCATGAAGCTGGACTGTTCTGTCTGCCTGTGAGATAGATTTGCTTTTGAGTGTTTATATTCTTGTCTTTAAAAACAAAAGGTGCAAAGATTTAGAAACTTGATTCACAAGTGTACGTAGTCATAATTGATGACTTCATCCATATGGAACTGCTCCTAGCCTCATCTGTAACTTTGCTAATAATCTTTTGTGACGCTTTGCTTTTTGTTCTGTGGTGCCTACACAACTGAATTTAACACATCACAGTGTATACTTTCAATGTATTTAGATGATATAACTAACATGGAAAATAAGCCTCCAGTTAAGGTAGTTCTAAAATGGTTACATGTCACAAAAGCTGGAATGAGGTTGGAATGTTCCACATGGTAGACATGTACATTACCCTCATACTATGACTGATCTCTTTATCCTCTCTCATTCCACTAACGAATTCAGAAAACTGCTGCTCTTCTGTAAGTTTTCTTCAAACTACGTAGTTCTGTTAGTTATGATTGTTCATAAATGTGTGTATTTCTGGGAACATGAGGGTTTGCATGTAGAGCATAAATTTTCAGTTCTTTGTTCATGTAGAAGATGAGACTATTGAATTATCTGTAGATGGAAATTACTATGCAGATTGCAGAGCTACTGTTTAAATACGCAGGCACTGTTGTCTGTGTGCACTAGACTAGGCAACAAGAACTATTTCTTTTTAGGGATGAAGATATTCCCCTTTTTGCTGTACTAATGAAGCGTAGGGGAATCACAGGTTTTAAAGTTTCTTTTACTAATGTTATTCTTAAATATTTAAGTTAAACAGTCCTCTTTAGACTTTTATGCAGTGATTTGATTAATCTGGTAGGGGGGAAAAGTCTCCTCCAGAAGGTCCTTATCTTTAGCTTCTGTCTACACTCTTTTCATCTTTAGTTCTACACAGGCGAATGGCAAGTTCTGAAATGGTGACAAGGTCATTCCTTTTAAATAAGTAATTTCTAAGCCAGAATGGGAAATGGATGGAGTGTAGCTAGTGACACTAATTTAAATCAGGTCACAAAATATTTTTGTAGGAAAATAAATGAGGAGCAGAGGTCAAACATTTGCCTGTTTTCAGTAGTAGTAGACTTTCTACTGTAGCTCTTCAGGCAGTCTTCTCATAAGTAAATACAAACATTGAAGAAGGTGAGTAATTAGCTATAGATCTTCTGATAAATTTCTGTGTGAAGGGATGGATGCTTATAACAGCTGAGTGACTCCCTTGTGGATTATGACATCTATCTACAAAACAAGGTTATCTGCTAGAAAAGGGCACTTTTTTCTTTCTCCCATGGATCAGAGGAGAGCTTAGAGTGAGTTAAGTGAACAAATGCAGTTGCTGTTTTGCTTGTGTGGTGTTTGTTGTTGGGTTTGTGTGTTTGTTTTCAGGGTTTTTTTAACCTCTGATCAACTTACGACATCTGTCAGAAAAAAAAAAACCAACAAACTTAGTGCATTAAGAAATTAAGCCTCTTAATCTGTTTCTTTATTCTAACGGGGGTAGTTTGAAAAATGGTGTGGGACAACCAAAGTTTCTTTAAAGGTTAACATGTTTGTCATTCTAACAGTGATGGCAGTTGAGGGGCAAACATGCTTATCTTCTTTCATGATTGAAAATGATTGAATTCTTCCTTCATCGCCAAAGTATTCTTAATTACTTTTTCAGAGTATACAGCAAGCTTTTAGAAAAATTAACATGGATAGGCTTCCTTAGCAAGTCTTGTCATGTGTTGTATGCATGCAGGAGTCTAATCAGTGTTCCACTTTATTCTTTTTACTATTTATTTATCAATGAGTTTTACAACTGCTTAAAAATACCTATAAGTTAAACTTTCACTGTAGTCTGTAAGATCTTAATTTTGAAGTAGTGTCAGTGGAGTTTAGGAGTAGAGACAGTGTTGCTAAGACCTGAGATTTTTAGTATCTGCAGTGGGGAACTTGTTTAGTATTCTTTATAGGAACGCCAAGGAACAACACAGAAAATGCAGAACAATTGGAAAATAGAAGCCAATAAGAATTCAGACCTAGATGAAAATAATTTCCAAATTCATGGCTAATGATGAAGTTCGAAAAACTTTTCACACAGCTAAATAAGAAAAGAACGTAAGATCAGTTCTTCCAAAATATTGGCAATTACTATTGAACTACCAGCTCCTCTGGAACATTGAATAGGAGGAGATTTGTATAGCAGAACCTCTAAGTCTTCTTCCGTGAGCTGGAGAGGGAATACTAAAATAGCAGTAATTGTTCAACTCCAGCAATGACAGTAGATTTCTGAAATGATTTGATGGAACAAGAATTTTATATATGAATAAATTTATCTGACACTTTGACAGTATGCTGGGTAGATGCATGAAATTAAAACACTGCATGCAACAAAGTATCGCTTGTACGTTCATGAAATCTAGTTTAACGTAAGTGACTCTGGCTTATTTCTCTTGAGTTTATGAAGGTAAGAGTCAGCAGGGCTGACATGCCTCCGTAATGCAGCTTTTACTAAGAGCAAGGTAAAGATTAGGAAGCTGTCTGTGAAGTATCAGTGACTAAATTTGTTGGTTTCTTATTACCTATTTGAAGCCATATGAGTTAATTGCAAGTGGGTAGCTTTCTCAGACAGCTTTTATGTAGCTGAGGTAGACAGATAAAAGTAAAAAGAAAACCAGCCCAAACCAAAACAACCCACTCTGTTTTATAATTAATTTTGACTGGGTTCTAACAGATCATTTCTGGGCACCATAGCAGCCTTTGTAATTTCTCTGTGTATGCTGACAGAACTAATCATGTACAGCTCAGGGAACAAATAACATAAGTTTTCCTGGGAAAAGTCACCTCAGAAAATGATAAAACCTTTTTAAAAACTCTACCTTCCATCATTTACTAAATCTACATCTTTTCCTCTTTTATACACATATATCTACGTGTGTGTGGAGGGGTGTGTGTATATATATATTTTTAAATAATAAACTTGATAGATTTTTGAGGGAGTGTCTTGTATTGTAATGAGGTGATTTGATTTGATATCTTATGCTCTTGTTAACATAATAATGTTCTACTGCTGTTCCAGATTCTTGCATGTTTGAGTGGTTTCAGTGATTGCTGAACAGCAGTTATAGGTGCCAAGTAAAACAGAAAATTTGGGCTGACATGAAGAACA